CCGACCCCCCCACCGCCACCATGCAGCGCATCAAGGGCCTCACGACCGGCTCGCTGCCCACCTTCATCGATGTGGGCAGCAACTTCGCCACCTACGCCATCGAGGAGGACAACCTGCTGGCACAGCTGGTGGAGAACGGTGGGTGGGCTGGGGCAGCGTCCCTCTGGGACAGGCACGCCGTCGGTTGGGGCTCACGCGGGAGCTTTGCTGCACTCCCCCCGGGGAGGGAACCTGCGCGCTGTCGGGTGACTCTTCTGTGCTGCTCAGATGGGATTTGTGTCAGGCAGCGTGGTCGTGTGGGCAGGGTTTCTCTGTTTCTTACTGGGAATAGGGAGTACCTGGGACCGTGGCTTCCTCGTCTTCAGAGAGAAAGAGAAAGGAGGTGAAAGTGGCTGTACTGATGGCAGCTGTCACAAGGTCACCGCCAGGAATCGTACGAAGCCAAGGGCAGTCAGTCGTGCTGTGTTTGCGTTCAGGTCAGGCACACGGCGAGGGAGCAGCTGGTGCCCGGCGTGCTGTGGGGCTGTCGCTCGTGCCTCAGGCCTGGCCAGCTGCCTGCAGCTGTTAGGCAGCGACCTCATCGCATTTTCTGTGTAGTTTGCTGCTGCTGGGGTGTGCTTAGTGCAGCTATAAAGGGCTTGTTAGGGTGGGATGATGGGCGTAGAGGGAAGGGGACAGGACACAGTCTTGTGTTACCCAGAGAGATTTCCTTCCAGGGCTCAGGGCGGCACAAGTGCCTGGGAGGAGGCAGGACTCAGGTGAGATCCCTGCTCTCATTAATTCCTTTCTCGCTGCCTCAGGAAGGAGAGTGGTCTTCATGGGTGATGACACTTGGGAAGGACTCTTCCCAAAGAAGTTCTTCCGCTCGTATTTCTTCCCTTCTTTTAACGTGAAGGATCTTCACACTGTGGACAATGGGATCCTGCAGCATCTCTATCCAACTGGTAAGCAGCTCTTCCCCCAGGGCCTGGGTAAGCTTTTACATTACGCAGGGGTCCTGCTGCAAGTTTGGGGTAGGACTGAAGAGTTTTTTCTCTTACAGAGTGGCAGTGGGCAGTCGCACACTGCTGCCACGGGATTACTCTAGCTGGATTTCCAGCTTTCGGGGCCTGTAAACTGTTTCTGTACAAAGAAAGGGGGTAGCTTGATGGGACGAGGTTAGTCTTCTACATCTACCCTAAAAATACACTGCCAGGGTGGAGCAGGAGGAGCAGCTTAACTTTGACACGTGGCAGCCCGGGCAGGCACACGGTGCTGTAGGAAATACCCAGCAGTGCAGCCAGGAGGCTGGGGCACAGCACTGCCCTCGGCAGAGTATCAGTGGCTCCTGGTCTTCGGAAGAAGGTGAAGTGTGACGTGAATTTTGGGTGATTTCGGACTCCTCGATGAGTCCTAGTACCGAGGGGAATGCTCTTTGCTTTTATTGTATGTGAATCTAAGTAAACTAAGGGTGCAGTGGGCTTTCACGGGGAAGTCTGCGTGTCTTGTGGAGGAGCTGCGGTTCATCCTTTACCTCCAAGTATGCTGGTTTTCGTGTGTCATAGAATCATAGAGTAGTTTTGGTTGGGAGAGACCTTTAAAGGCCATCTTGTCCAAACCCCCTGCAGCGAGCAGGGACATCTTCAACTCGATCACGTTTCTCAGAGCCCTGTCCAACCTGGCCTTGAACACTTCCAGGGATGGGGCAGCAACCACCTCTCTGGGCAGCCTGTTCCGGTGTTTCACCACCCTCGCTGTAGAAAATTTCTGCCTTACATTGAGACTAAATATGCCCTGTTTTAGTTTAAAACCATGACCCCTTTGTTGCTACAGGCCCTGCTAAAAAGGCTGTCCCCCTCTTTCTTGGAAGCCCCCTTTAAGTACTGAAAGGCTGCAGTAAGGTCTCCCTGGAGCCTTCTCTTCTCCAGGCTGAACAGCCCCAACTCTCCCACCCTTTCCTCACAGCAGAGGTGCTCCAGCCCTCGCATCATCTTTGTGGCCTCCTCTGGACCTGCTCCCACAGCTCCCTGTCTGTCCTGTGCTGGGGGCTCCAGAGCTGGATGTGACTCCGGGTGGGCTCTCACCAGAGCGGAGCAGAGGGGCCGCATCCCCTCCCTCGACCTGCTGGCCACGCTTCTCTTGATGCTGCCCAGGATACTGTTGGCTTTCTGGACTGCAAGCACACATTGCCAGGTCATGTCTGGCTTGTCATCCACCAGTACCCCCAAGTCCTTCTTGGCAGGGCTTCTCTCAGTTGCTGTCTAGGGACAGCATTGGTGTGCTGGGCCTATGTCCTGGGTGAGATGCAGAGGGGCATATTGTCGAGTCTGACCTGAAACATCTTTAAGGGAGAACTGGAGTTCTGGGTTCTCTTTTTCCTGAGCATCTCCTTGGTGTAGCTCAGCTTGTGACAGTTTGAGTTGGGTCATTCCTCTGGTGAAGAGTGCTGAACAAAACCCATGGATACTGGGGCGCTTGCCAGACATTGACCTCGCCACAGCGTTGTAGCCAGGCACCTGCAGACCAAGAGTGTGCCTCTGCGTTGATCTGCCCGAGAGCTGGGGGTGATGAGGATGGGGAAGAAACAGCAGTTTCCAGAGGCACCAGAAAGCTCTGGCAGGAGGATCCAGGCACAGAGCCCTTGTCCGAATCCCCGAGTAGTGTGTGATAAGGTTGCTCTTGTTCTGCAGTGGATGGTGGTGAATGGGACGTGCTGATTGCTCACTTCCTTGGCGTGGACCACTGTGGGCACAAACATGGACCTGACCATCCCGAAATGGCCAAGAAGCTCACCCAGATGAATGAGATGCTCAGGTGATAAGTGTGGCGGTGGGGTTTGCCAGCTGGCCTCTTCCTTCACACAGGCTGGTGGGGTCTTCCCAAGGCGTTTACAGATGCAGAGGGCAACGGGGGATGCTTACTGTGCCTGTTTACATGGAAGATGGCTTTGGCTAGCAGCAGCTGAAACCCCAGCTGTGGGGCAGTCTCAGATGCGTAGACACATGTTCATGAGAGGTTTGGTTTCAGGGGTAAGGTTGTCTCCAGGACACAGAGCCTTGGTTCTCAACCAAACTGTGCAGCTGGAGTACAGCTGAGCCTCACTCTCTCGGTCTTTAAAATGAAGGTGGAAACACTGAGATCTGGCTAATGTTTGAGGAA